CCATTAATAAATAATCCACAAAATATCTCTGCTGTCTTTCATCTTTGCAATTTTTTCATTCTCGCCCCTCCTGGACAATTTGCCACTGGGCCAACAGTTTATCTCATGTGCAAGCAAATAAGGTATGCCTCTTTAAAATTGAGGACTATGTTTAGCAAAAAGTTCTAAGACTTTTAAGGCATATTTCCGGATAAAAAACAAAGCGAGGAATGGCAAATACCTGCTCCATCAATTATTATTCATCCCAAGGCAGTGCAATTATTTTCAAAGCTACACGTTCCTTTAAAATCCAATAAAGCAATTTTTGCTTTAATGAATTTACCCACTCAGCAGTATCTAGTGTAGCCAACCATTTTATATTATGGTTTCAGCTTGAAAAATGTTCCCAGGTATAATTGTTCCAAAGTGACTAAAAATATTTAACTGCTTAGGTGCACAGTCACAATACCTGCATAATGTTAAACAGAATCACATAATCTAAAGTGGCCATTTAGCCCTTGCATCTATCCAATCTATGTCACAGTGTGCCCCAAATCAAAGGCAGTTGCTCTCCATAATACTACCATTAGAACCAATATGAGTCATGTTTGCTCTTCTGTGCAAGTTTCAATCACCCGGAGTTATTTAATGATTTCTTTTTCAAAGAGCTTTATCCTAGAGATAAACTTATCCATTTAGTAGCATTAAATACCAAGAGTATTTACCTACTAGTACAAAGAAGCTTTTGTAAAATTTATTGTTAATTTTATGCATCTGAGCCCGCTTACATTATTGTGACAAGATTATTTATGTACAGCAAGCAGGGGATATGGGAAGTTGCATGTTTTAACAATTAGATACAGTTGTGATTAAGGCTGAAACTTCAAAAGGGAACAAACTGCAAGCTTTATTGTAGCAAACATTTGTTATTAAAAGAAACTTGGCTCAGGGGACTGAAAACAAGGGTGGTAAGACTGAAAAATACTCTGTTATGAGAACCTATTGAAGAGGGAGGCTCCTCTTCTGCTCCACAGATCAAAAGGAGCTTAGATGTGACATAATTTAGATTTACAAAACAGAAAGTGTCAGATAAGAATGAAAGAAAGCTCTTCAAAGAAAGAGGTTAACATACAACAGCGTTCTCTTTGCAGCCATAAACAGCAAGTTATGATCTCTGCTGTGACCTGTGGTTTTTCTTCTTTGACTAGATCATCATGGTCTGACAAGTTGATCTACGATTATACCAAGCTTCTGGGACTCAAAGTTCTTTTCTTGTTTGCTCATTCCTTCCATGTTTGTTCATTCTTGCCCTAGTTCCCATTCTGCTGTTGTTTTTGAGTTTTCAAATATCATCTTCATATTAATCATCACCACCACTCATCACACTCCCTCATCCATGTCTGAACTCAAAATTAGTTGTCAGACTGACTAGTGGTAATCTGTCTTCCTCCTTGCATTCAAAGTCCTCCATGGCTTTTCTCCTGCCTCTGCTCTTATATCACAGTACACACCTGCCCATGACCATCTTCAGCCACCCAAAAGTATTTTGTTTCCACTATTTTGCTCTTTTTAGACCTCATGCCTAAAACTGCCTTCCAGAACTTCTGTGCGATGCTACTTGTCTTACTTCTTACTTCAAATCCTCAAAATCCACCTTTATATTAAGCCTTTGGCACAACCCCTTATACCTCAGCCTCTGGAGAATTGTAGAGTACAGTGGTACCTCAGTTTAAGAACAGCCCTGTTTACAAAATATTCAGTATATGAACTCGCAAAACTGGAAGTAGTGTCCCGGTTAGCGAACTTTACCTCAGTTTACAAACGGAAGCCGAATGGTGGAAGGGCACTGGCGGTGGGAGGCCTCATTAGGGAAAGCCCCTCGGTTTAAGAATGGCTTTGGTTTAAGAATGGGCTTCCGGAACGGATTAAGTTTGTAAACCGAGGTACCGCTGTATTAGAATTAGCAAGACTCTGGTTAGTGTCGTCATGCCCTCCTGCCTGGAAGTAGGCCTTTAAATTGCAGATTGGTTCACAAGAGACCTGTGCTCATTCACAACTGGATCCTGGATGAGGCAGCAGATGTAATGTATTACTGAAACCTGGGTGGGCAACACTGGGCAGATTCAATCTGACTCAGCTGTGCCTACCTGAGTATTTGGGTTTAGCACCAACACAGGCTGGAGGGAGACATCTCCACCTCTACCCTGCAGGCTAACTTTGACAGATGAGTAAAGCTCCCATCATCTCTTACCACAATCTATTCTGCCCAAAGCATCCAGAGGGCACCAGTTTTGGGGAAAGCTGACCTAAGGAGTATGGTATATTTCCTGATTCCCTAAATCCAATATATATACGGTCACAACGAGCACATTCACACAAATTATTCACACAATTAAACCCAGAGTAACTTAGTGAATGGTCAAAATCTTGCTGTGATATTAAAGGTTTAATTAGAGACAGACTATGGATCTGTTTTCTTCCCAGAGTAATCAGTTGCAGGAAAAAATGCTTGCACTGCAGGTGCACTCAAGGCACTGAGCATCTGAGACTCCCTGCTGTACCACACAGATCGACAATTTCTCCTGCAATAATGGGACGAGGAAAAAATATTCTAACTCTTCTAAATCTTCCCCTCAACTAGGATAATCAAAATTAAAATCTCGCCTCCAAGCAAATAATTTATAACCATTTAAAGGCATATGTGGGAGTGAAGCAGAAATCAAGGAAACAAGCAGAGTGTCAGTGCCATTAACAATTTTTGTAGCAGAGTCTGCAAAGATTACCATTTAAGGAAGGGGCACCAGTGGCATACCTGTAAGCACTCTCTGCTTAACAAACCTTTATCTTTACCAACTGTCACCCTAGCACATAAAAATAAAATACCTTAATGGATATCAAATGCGATTTAGCAACATTGTGTTTTTAAATGCCGGTGTGTAAAACAATAACAATTAACTAGCACTCAGATTTTCAATGAAATAAAACAAGTATCTTTTTGTTACTCCATGGCCACAAATGAAATGCACCTAGTCTGGCCAGAAAATGACACCTTGCCTCTTTTCTAAATAGCTTCCAAGGGACTGAGGTTAGAGACAGAATTATGTCAGTTTGCTTCTTGGGAGTACACCGCCCAAATTTTTAAATGGAAAGTCTGCCCCTGCTTTCAGTTACATTCATTATGTTGTGGCTGCTTAACTATCTAACCTTTACTTTGCACTTTCTATTTATCATAATCACTTTTAGTAACAATTCAAAGGCCTCCAGACATTGCTATCCAACTGGGTTATTAAAGCACACTAGCTATTCTTTTGGCCATGAACTGACCCCACCTTTTCCCAATTTCTAGAAACCAAGTTTCATTCCATTCCCATCCCATGTCCGTCTAGGCCCTTCAGGTTCACAACCCTATCAGGCACTCCCACTAAATCTCCCTGAGTTAGACTCTGGCTGCTGCACCATAAACCACTGTATCCTCTTTCTGTGACAGTGATGACTGGGAGAGTAAAGGTAAAGGTAAAGGTACCCCTGACCGTTAGGTCCAGTCACGGATGACTCTGGGGTTGCGCCGCTCATCTCGCTCTATAGGTCGAGGGAGCTGACGTTTTGTTTGCAGACAGCTTCCAGGTCATGTGGCTAGCATGACTAAGCCGCTTCTGGCGAACCAGAGCAGCGCACGGAAACACCATTTACCTTCCTACCAGAGCGGTACCTATTTATCTACTTGCACTTGACATGCTTTCAAATTGCTAGGTGGGCAGGAGCTGGGACCAAACAACAGGAGCTCACCCCATCGTGAGGATTTGAACAGCCGACCTTCTGATCGGCAAGCCCTAAGCTCTGTGATTTAGACCACAGTGCCACCCACGTCTGGGAAGGTAACAGAAGACAAACAGAGCATCTCAAGAACACTGGGACTGTTCTTCGGGGGGGGGGCAGCACTCCTTTCATGCACCCTCCTACCCCACTGCAAAATGATTTAAAGGAGGTCTAAATAATAACCTGTCTCTGGCTGCCTTTACAAAATACACAAACATACACAAAACAAACATAAAATTGATCAGTGCATGGAATTTTGTTGCAGGAAAAGATAAATGATACTGCCACTCCAGTCTATCAGTTAAAAGTTCAGAAGCTTGTTACTAAACTATCAGTGAAATCTGGACATTTTATTGTTGAACTGTTATGTTGAATGTGGTTTGGCTGAGAAAACACAGCAGATTAGCCTGAACTGAGCCCAAGACAACTGCCAAATCCTCTATCCAGTAGCAGATGGCGCAAGAACTTTAGGAAGCCTTAAAAACAGGAACAGTAAACATTTTTTTAATCTGGAGGCTACAGTTCCCATTTTAAAAACCGGCCAGTGGGCTGCACCACACATGCACTCGCTGTGCGTCATGGACATATGGCGGAATAAAAAATAAATCAGAAAGCGAAAACACATGCAAGAGCCACTTTAAACTCTTTCCTGCTAAAAAATGCCACTTTAAACTCTGGCAATCATATGATACACAAGAAAAAAACAATGTCAGTACTAGGTGTCACACATTTTTAGCAAGGAGGTCTCCATCTTCATTTCCTACTGTCCCATGCATTTATAGTCCCATGCATTTATACTTCATGATAAAAAAAAACCAAGTAGTTACAGTTGATGAACCATAATTTTTCCAACTGTTTTGATTGTTTGGCAATTTTTGTTGTGTTTCAGGCACCAAGCCATAGGGATCCCCTGCCCTGTGGCTGGTGGTGCAAGGGATCTTGTTGGAGCATTGCTTTTCTCCCACATAGGCTAGGGCATTTCAGGAATAACTGTATTCTGTCCACAGCTTCTGATTCGCAATTCTATCTTGATTTCTCTTTATCATTACTTATGTCTGTCTAACCTGTTAGGTACGTATTCACAGATTTCCATATAAAAATGTTACGCCTCACACTGGGGAATGTCAACAGCCTTTCAAAGGTGTCTGTAATAATTTGCTGTTTGTTTGGGGGTGTGTTTTTTAGACAATAAAGGGAGGTATTACCTGTCTGCATCCACCGTCACATCCTGAACCCCTCTTTGAATAACATCTCGGGAGGCTGCCATGTCTGGAATTCGGTTCAAGCTTCTTGTATACAGGTTGAGTCCTCCATCTGTCATGTAACTGAAAATAAAAATATATAATTTTAATCATGAGAAAATGCCACCAGCTGGTGCCACCTATTTATATATAGCACTGTCAATGCAGTGCTGTGGCAGAGTGAAAGAAAGAGATGAAGTTTTTGATTTGCAGAATTTAAACTCTAAAGCAGGGTTTTACCAATTTCATCAAGGTGAACCTTACTAAGAACCAAACAAAATGTGAAGTGGTAGCTCTGTGTACAGGACATCTCGTGATAACAGCAGTCAGCACAAAGGGGAAGAGCTATAACTCAGTAGTACAGCACATGCATTGTTTACAGAAAGCTCCAAGGTCTAAATCCTGGCAAAAGGATCAGGCAGAAAGATTATTTTCTGTCCAATGCCCTCAAGTGCCACTGCTTGTTAGAGTAGATAACACTGGCGTAGTTGGACAACCATTCTGGCCTAGCAGCTTCTCCCTTCCAGAATACTTATTTATGCTTCCCAGCAATTAAGTGGGTGCTTAACCATCTCCCACTGTATTGATTTTCTTATTAAATGCACACCTCCACAGCTGCTATTTGTTCCATGACAAAAACCATACGGGTACCTGTATCATACATGGTGAAACCTCCTACACCATCACTGTTGTCCACATTTGAAGTGCTCCCTTCCACAGCTGTCATGCCTAGTTTGCCCCTATGTCAGGAGAACAACTGCTTGAATTTTGTTGTAGCAAGGGAAGGAAGGAAGGACTGAGGAGCAGTTCCTACCTTGCAGATAAGGAATAGAGTAACACAGTGAATGGTAAACTGGTGTTACAGTAAACATACCCAGAAGCATCAATAAACATCGAACTGCAGATCTCTACAAAGGAAGCAGCCATACAGAACCACCGTAACTAGGAATGGATTGAGCTGTTCACTTCTCAGGTGGTACAGTCCTCTCACATGGAGAAGCACTTGAAAGGAGATGCTTCCATGTGAAATGCGCTTGTCAAAATTTGCCGCCTCTCCTTCCATCTGAGACAGTTTTGCTGGGGATGCAGTTATTCGACAGAAATGCTTCAATATGACCAATTCCTATGTGAAAGCTGAGTTGGCCAACTCTGTGAGAATCTCAGTGAAGCAAATGAATGATGAAAGGGGGATGGGGTGGAATATACCCTTGAGTATACCCAGGACTCATACACTTAGTCCTGGTAAAGACAGATATCAGAAAAGTGAAAGACCATAAATGGTGCCTTAATCTTTCTTTTATTATGATATATACACACAGCTGCCAAAAACCAAAAGAAGGACTGACACACTAACTACACTGGCGCACACCTCCTGGCCTAATTAAGGCCTATTCTTTATAGGATTCAGGCAGGAGAAGGACTTTAGTTCAGTGATAAGACCATATGTTCACCATGTCAGGTTCAATCCATGGCAAGTTCAGATAAGCTTGTCATAGAATCAGAGCTGGAAGGGACCACAAAGGAATCATTTTGCCCAGCACAGGCATCGAACCCACGACCACGAGATTAAGAGTCTCATACTGTACCAACTGAGCTATCCCGCAGGAGGCCAAGGACTCTTGCCCAAAATCCATGGAAAGGTGCTCTCTGTGGGTTTAAACTCTTTCCCATGTAAGTGGTTCATCTGCATTTACAGTATATACTGGCACACCAGTGACAAATGGCATGGATGGGTTTGCTGCTTACTAAATTTTTGACAGTATTTAAAGGCGACATGGTGCCCACATAACACTTTCATGGGGAGGCGGCTTTATCTACGGCCCACATCCTATGCATATCTGGCCTCAATCACAAAATGAAGTCAAGAAAGCACCACATTCACCTAGGCAGGCCAGCCTCATGCACCAGATAGAGATGACCTGCTTGAGAAACTGATGTGAGCTTGGTGACCACAGAATGATTACAATAATGGGAAGCTTACCTTGCTATTATTTTTATATCATCTTATTTTGGTATGTATTGTTATCTGAATTGCTTCTTAGGGGGAATTTCTTTATTAGTCATTTTCAGAAAGTCTTGTGAATGAAATGGGGGGCAGTTTCCACACCAATCTATGGTATTTGAACTCTGAAGTCATATCTGTAGGCACTGGAACCACTTATGGATGTGATCTTGCACCCAGAAATACAAACAAGAATGTTACTTTCCAATGGATACAAGATGGTGTATATTGTATGATGCCTTCTGCCAGGGAGGGGAGGGGATGGGACTCGATTGCAGCCTTCATTCCTATCGAACTACAAAGGTAAGAAAATGGAGGAGAAGACTTCAAGACTCAAGACTTCAATGCATTTTGATTCTTACATGGTAATGCATTAGTGAAGAGGCTGAACCTCACAAGAAATAGGCCCCTCTTCCATTAATTCCTAATTACTGCTGGATTCTCATCCCCAAGTGTTTAAAGTAATTAAAGTGGGAATGAAAGAGGAAAGAGAGATAAGACTTGACATGCCTGAATGAAGCATGAATTTTCAGTGCTTATTATTCATTTTTTGCTCTTTATTCTAACGCAGAAATGGTACTTAAAAATATTCTGGCCAAGAGCGCTGCTGCTTGCTACTATTTACCAAGTCATTCTCATTACGGATGTCAAAAGAGACAACTTAATTTATTCTCTAAGGTGATAAACTAATTAATACATATTTAGTCAAGCAGTACAAAAACTGTTAATCGGTATATGTCACAAGCAAAATATTCAAGGAAAAATTAGCTGAGATAGAAAGTCTCACACTGCTTTGAATGCTTTCACATGAGTCATTAAGTTGCATAGATGCACAAAGTTTATTATACTAGATAGTGGCTGGATTTCAGGTGAGTGCAATCTGCTTTTTTCTTATTTTTGAACCAGACTTCCAGGGTCCATCACTCAGGACCAACCAGAAAATGTAAAAAACAATGCTGGAGTATGACACTTGAATAAACTTTCAGAGCTCAATTCTATGCATGCTTACACAGAAATCAGTGGCACCAAATCCCATGGAACTCTCAAATCAGTGAGCAATCAGACATACAGCTCTATCCCAAACAGATTTACTTGGAAATAAGCACCACTTCTTTGAATGGGTCACACTTTGTCTTAGGAACATAGGCCTTGGTTTTAGACATGGAGACTGAAATTCTCTAATTCTGATTTCAGTCTTTCATACTTTGAAAGGCAGACAAACACTCAACAACCTGACCATGGTATTCAACGCCAGCTGCAGCATCCTAATCAGACCCAAGGGAAGTCCCATATAGAGCACATTACAGTAGTCCAGCTGTGAGGACACCAACACATGAACTGCAGTGGTCAAGCTATTCTTGTCCAGGAAAGGGTGTAGTTGGCATACCAACCTAAGATAATGGGCAGTCCTTCGCACAGAGTTTTCCAGGGTCTGTAATAGGAAGGATGGACCTAAGGGCACCTCCAAACTTGTCCCTTCAGAGAGATTGCAACCTTGTCCAGAAGTGGAGAATTCCCTAACTCCTGAATATGGGAACCACTCACCCACGGAGTCTCCATTTTACCATGATTCAATCTCTGTATTTTGGACCCTTATCCAGCCCACCACTACAGCTAGCCACAAGTACAAAAGCATCCCCTGACTCAGATATAACAGGGGGAAAGGGATGGGTGTCATCAGTATGATGATGATACAATGCCCTAAATCTCCTTAATGGCCAACAGCTGATCACAGGGCAGTTTACAAAATAAACACACAAAAATACATAACATAATTAAAAAACTATACCCCCCTCCAACACACAGTTTAGAAACCCATAGATTATTTAACACACACAAAAATTGCCAGGACATGGACACATATTCTCCCCCAATGCTACTCTCTGAACCTATCCCCACAGGTAGAAGCAGAACTACTGCAACACAGTGCCACCAAGTCCCAACTCATGGAAATAGTCCAGGAAGAAACCATGGTCACCAGTGGTGACCAGAAACCACTGAGCAATCAAGAAGGAGCAACAAGGTCCCATTCCCCTGCCCATCTCCTAAAGACCCAAACGTAATGATGCGAGAAATCTACCATTTGGATCAATTATAGTTTTTAACACACTCATCCTCTCTTATGTATCCCTGATGTAAACTGCTCTCTCCCTGACAGCTGCTACTAGCTCCTCTGACATCTGCTCTCAACACATGGGTGTCGGGGGCTGGACCAGCAATGCAGCCTTGCTTCTTTGCCCACCACTCTAGTGCCCTACACCGCTTTATAAAATAGCCAGTTTGGATGAGGTTGATTTGGATTATAGAGAGGAAAGACTTAAAAACACCTCCCCAGTCATCAAAACAGCTGTGTAGGGCAGATAATTAGTCCTTGATAAAAACAAACCAAAAACAGTGATCCCATTATATTACATGTTGACTGACACTGAATATGTTCTTCTTATATGATATATGCATTACATTCTTGTAGAGTTCTTCCCTATGCATCAAAGAAGCCATGGAACTATGTCCAGGAGAACATCACACACCCATGTACTGAACATGAGAGCAATACCTATGCACTGAACATGAGTGATCTAAAGAGGAACTGAGGGCCTCTGTTTCTACGTCCTAGGAATCTAATGTATTATGTAGAAAGGAACCATAATATTGCCAACATGGGAACACTGGCAAGCAGGGGAAACCTTTTCATCATTTTCCATATAGAACATTATTATTATTATTTTATTATTATTATTATTATTATTATTATTATTATTATTATTATTATTATTATTATTATTTCTTCTCAGCACATACAACTCTGAGTAATGCATTAAAAATACACATTTCTGAGTATCAGTAAAAAGTAGGAAATAATTTGTTAATCTTTAAGGTGCAGCAAGACTCTGTTTTGCCGTAACAGACTAATACAGCTATACTCTCTAGGAAAACATAGAAATATTGGTGACTCTAAATCTATATCAATGACCACCCAACAATGTGATGAATAACTCATCTATACTAGCATTTTAAAGATATCTATGTGGCCATTGTGGGAAAAACACTTGTGCTTAAACCCCCATCAAATTGCAAGCAGTACTGAAATTCAGAAGTGCCCCAAAGCAGTCCCTACTAGATAAAGTTAATAAATGATAGCTTCCCATCTCTTGAGGTTATTCCTGTGGTCAGATATAAAATGCACAACCTATAAACTCCAGAAAAGCTTATTTCTCAATAGAATGAATCTGACAGGTAGGTATTGAAATTTCATGCCTGTAAGAAACAGGTTTTTGTTTGCCCCCTTTTAAAACATGTCTGCCATCTACCAACTGGAACAAAATAAACCTAGAGGGAATGGTGTGCACAGCAAAATCTCTTTTTCATTTAATTATCATTCATTCCAATGTGCTAAGATCATTATAGCACACACATTCCTTCTGTTTTTTGGCCCCTACTAAAATAAGGAACGCATCTACGATTAATGTTAAGAAGAGGATCTAATTCAGTCTTACACAGTTTCTAACTCACAAAACCAAACACCTGTCAAGAATGGTGGACCAGAATTGTTTCTACAGGGGCAGATTGACCTGATGCCCCACCACAAGGGTTACGCTAAACTTTTAGGCCTAGATTTTTAAGCCATACACTGGGAGCTGGGGCAAGATAAGATACCCCAAAGATTGGTGGCAAACGAATTTCCCTGAAGCATTTTTGTTTCCAGGGGGCTGGCCTAACTTAGCCTCAGACACATCAATAACACAAGATGACTGAGGGTTTTTCATTCTCTCTCTGCCTCTCCTTTCTCCATGACTTTAAAAGGACAAAAGAAAGATGGTGCATACCTTAGGGAGCATCACTATAATATACATTTCGGGGGCCAACCCACCCAGAAAATACATTTCGAATCATATGGTGCTTATAGTGGTCACATCAAACAAGAAGAACATTGTGTGTTATGTGAGGGTCTGGGGAAGCAAACACTTACCCGCTGTTGATGTCATCAGCACGGAGGCTCTTCCCAAGAATGTCCCCATCACTCATGTATCCTCCAACATCAACATCAGAGGAAATGTCCAGATCGCTACTTCCTTTTTCACTCATGTCTATCTGGGGTATGTTCCCAAGGCGAGAAACAGCTGCACGGCGAAGAGGCGTGGTATACATGAACCGAGAAGGGTCAGTATGGATAAAGCGACTAGCACCACTGCGAGGGTACCCTCCACCCAGGGAAGGAGCATCGCCTGCCTGGAGACGAGGACTAGCTTGTCCAAGCCTCCAGGTCACTGGAGAGGATCGGCTTGTCAAGCCTGGGATACTTCGCCCATTCACTTCGGTTGTCACAGTACTGTCAAATGTTGTCTCCAATGTGCTGTGAAGCAAAACAAAAACTGATGAACTGTGCTTTCTATACTTCTGAGCATAGGGAGGGGAGAGACAGTAAAAGTCAAAGCACAGAAAAAAAACGAAGTTTATATTTAAGGCCATCACAGCCTGATGCGTTCATTTTCCTACAAGAACAAATCCTTTATTCAACACTTTCAAAGAAAGGATACTTTTTTGTTTCATCATTTTACTGCAGGTGGATTTTGAGAAGAAAGCAAGTGAACAAGTGTGGAAAATTAAAATGCAACATCTCAGTGGAAAATGTGGGTCTTTCATACTCAACATATACAGAAGTTGCAGCTAATCTCATGGTGGCATTTTAGACATCTTATCCATTTTTAGCATTTCAGCTGTAAATGAAAATGTTTTGTGGTTTAGATGGACAGTGGCCTTGACTGGATAATCCCAGTTTCTGATCTGTTCCATATCTTTCTTTCCTACCAATCTGTCATTACTGCTGTACTATCGCATGTCTCAGTATCCATAGGACATATGCCCATTTAGCATATGACCTATACTTGTAAAATCCAACATACATGGACCCATTTTGTGCAATTAGTATTTAGAAAAATATATGAGAGAATTGTCTACATGGTTTGGGTCTATGTGTGTTGGATTTTACACATGTAGGACCTGTTAAAACTAATTCACTGAATTAAGGCATGGAGTTTGGAAGAAGATGATGCAAGCCCCACCACACAAAGTGGTGTGTGTGTGTGTGTGTCCAACTCATCAGGAGGGTGGGTCATAGTTCAGAAGTAGAACACATATTTTGATGCAGAAAGTCTTGGGTTCTCCAGATAGGACTTGGACGGACCCCTTGCTGAAATCCTGAAAAGTTCAGGTGTAGACAATGCTGAGCTAGAAGGACCAGGGGTCTGACTTGATAAAAGGGAGAGTCCTATGTACTTAAATCCCAGGATAAGGAGAGATGGGGGAAGAATGCCAGGTGAGTAGGGAGCAAAGGTGTGCTCTTGCTCCTATCTGTGAGCATGGGCTGGATTGCGTATTGACAGGCATTGCCCAATCTGACACATTTCATTCATGGAATTTAAGGAGGCTGCTACTTAACTGGATAGCACTGACAATAAGAAAACTGGCAAAAACGAAACTGGGTGCACATCTTCAAGGTTTCTCCTTTCAAACCCCACACGCTTTCTGCTTCAACCCGTATATATTTAACCAATTGTTAAATAGTACCTGTGGCTTATTTGAGTTCCCCTAAGGCTTGACATAGTTTCTTCCAAGTTCTGCCTCAGATCTGCTATATTCTTTACAGTTCTCATTCTTCTAGCTTCAGGATCTTCCCCTGCAATGAAACAGTGTATATGCCAACAATTTGATTTTAATTAATTTTTATAATGAAATGTTTTTAGAATGTTTTTAGAATTTGACTGTTTGACTATTTGACTGTTGTTAGCCGCCCTGAGCCCGGCTTCGGCTGGGGAGGGCGGGATATAAATAAAATTTATTATTATTATTATTATTATAGCTAACAATATACTGCACATGCAATAAATATCAGAAGAGATCTCCATCATCATTCCAATAACATATCTCTGAATCTTCTCTAATATGAAACAATGACTTATAGCACGCAAAGTTATTTCATAACAGCAAATTAGCTGATGCTCTGTATGGGGGCAGCGTGGGGGTGGCAAAAAAAACACCACCGAAGTTCCTGTACTCACACCTTGAGAAAGTAAAAGGGCCTTTCCCCTCTTCCTGCACTCCCTCTACCTACTTTTCCCATTGAATTTGTGAGGAATCTTTAATTAAAAAATTGATAATAAAAATTAAAACTACATTTTTTAAAAAATCAAGATTTATAGATAATTTTGAAGGCTTTTGTTAAAAAGAATTAAAAATTAACACTGCTGTCAATCACAAAATGCCCGGTGTGGAGTGTATGATGTGGCACACAGTATTAGCCATGCAGGTATGGCCATAGCACAACATTAGAGGTGCTTGCCTGCTGGGTTTTTTTGTGGCAGTCACACAATATTGATTTTACACACCCACACCCACACACCCACCACACACCGAGAGAGAGAGAGAGAGAGAGAGAGAGAGAGAGAGAGAGAGACCTTGTTGTCTACAAACCACAGGGAACATAACCTGGTTCCAGGGAAAATATACAAGGTGACCAACCACATTCTCTTCTGCACCAGCACGGAACACCCACATGCACTCAACATACATGACACCCGCCCTGTGGAACACCCTCCCATCAGATGTCAAAGAGATAAACAACTACCTGACATTTAGAATTAGGGATTTTTTAAATGTGCAAAGTTTTAATCTATTTTTAATCTTTGTGGGAAGCCGCCCAGAGTGGCTGGGGAAACCCAGCCAGATGGGTGGGGTACAAATAATAAAGTTATTGTTATTGTTGTTGTTGTTTATTATTATTTATTATTATTATACAGACCACAGACACACATGCATTGCCCTGTCTGTCTCTCACACAACCACACATATATGCCTCCTTTCCTCTCAGTCCAGGTGCACCTGTCCCTCTCTCTCACATACCACACATGCACACATACCTCCCCCCAACTTGCACACACAAACACTTATGCACATATCACATAGACTTTCCTCTCTGTCCAGGTGCACCTTCCCTCACTTCTGCAGACCTCACATACATAGTCTCTTTTCTCACATATGAACAAAGACCTCATATAGATGTTTTCTTCCTTTCCTCACCCACCCACCCCATATACAACCCTTCCTCTTTCAAACAAAGCACACATACATACCTCTGTCCATCATGCACACATGCTCACACAGACACACACACACACACACATACTACATGAGCAGCAGCTGCACCCATTGAAAAGAGCACCTCCCTAGGGCAAAGGTAGCACTTGCCAGAAACTTCACCTCGCAGCCAGACCAGGGTAGCCTGAATATGCAGGACACCCCCACTCCATCCCAATTTCTTTTTTTAAGTAAGGCACAGGAAAAAGGAGAAACCGCCTCTGGCTAGCAAGTAAGGGTGGGGGCCTCAGCTAGTGTTGCGCGGGGGGGGGGGAGCACTGGGTACATACAAGCTTTAGACTCTATACATAAAATATATCCAGATTCAATAAACATGAGTATTCATGTAAAAAGTACACTTCAAAGATATACTAAATCTAAACTGCAACAACTTAATTCTAAACTCTCACTTGATTTTAAGACCTGCCAATTATTATTTATTTATTCTAGCAGCAACGTGTCAATTTCTATAGTATTTAATTGGAACGTGGGATTTACAGGCCAACAGAGCGCATTTTACTACATATTAATACCATTCCCTACCACACAGTTAAGGAGGCAACTTTGCAAGACTTCCTCCCAGGTGAGAGACTCCTTGAGTATCGAAGTTGTTCTGGGGTGGGTTTGGCCCTTAGCAGCAGGTGAGGTTTTCTACCTGTATGTGCAGGTCATACTTGGCCACACATTTTATGCAAGAATGGCATAAGTTCTACCTTGTTATACTTTAATAAATATAACCTTTCCTTATCTTGACACGCCTTCCTTCTGGTTTGTGTGCTCCATGAGATCAGGAATGTGTCATAGGCTTGCATACCCTTACTCCCACTCCTTCTCCTCCCTAATCTCCTGCTCCCCTCACCACAAGGAGGTATTAACAACTAAAATTGCATGGTAACAGAATCCCATCTTCAGGCAATTCTGTGATCTTTTTGCTCTGCCATTAAGTGCTCAACAGAGGGAAGAAAGCAGAGGATATGTGAGAGGACTCCGTGCGCCAAGGCCAGCTCATAAATATTGGAGAAGACATGATTTTCAGTACATATTTAAATGACCTTCATAAAATAAAATGATAGGGATGCTGACAGAGCGTGCAAATAATGGGTTTGTAATGTCATGTTTAACCTGCTTATAAGCCTCATTTCTGGCTCCTTGCTTGGTTCTGAACTTTAGTGGCAGAGCATCATGCTCCAGCACCGGGGGGCGGAGAGCATGCGGGGGCGGGACTGGCGCGCGTCCCGGGAATGTGATGCACTACCTGTAGGGGCATGGCATGCATCCTGGGGGCATGGTGTGCCGTCCGTAGGGGCATGGTGCCCAGCACGGGCAGTGGGGCAGCCATGATGGCACCCTGCCGGGATCGCGCTGCTGGGGGCGGTGCGCTCCCACAGCATGCCTCTTCCTCCACTAGTGCTGAACTCACAGATGATGGGGAGGGTTCTGCAGCTTTCAGGGCTTCAATGGAGCAAACGTAAGCAAGGATGTGAAGAACTTTCATAAATCGTATGAAAACATGCCTGCACACATGCAAAGGTCAAACATGCTTAGAACACTAAAAAGAAAAGCAAAAAAAGCTAATCTTTTTAGGAATTCATACTTCTGACAATTCAGCTGCATACTGAGCTATAATGAGTTCGCACATCTCTAGGAATTATGCCTCTCAAGATACCACAAAAGCATCAGCTTCCCTTTCTCCTGAGGATTGGGCCCTAGCTATCCTTGCTTAATGCCAAAAGAGAGCCAAGAAAGATGCCTGTTGATTTTCAAATTCAACATCCCAACAGCTTTTGTGTGTAGAGATGCTCATATAGTGTGAAATATGATTGTTGTTTATCATTGTTATGATGCTTGGTTATAACTAACCTGCCACGAGAGTCAAATTTATTTGTGATCACGCACAGGAGAACCAGCTGTGTTTTTATAGCAACAAAAAGTAGGGAACGGAGTTGGTGCAAAGTATCTCCACAAGAAGAAGAATCTTATTAACTTCTGTATGAATAAATCAGAAGTTCATTACATATCACTATGTACACGGAAAATCAGAATAATTTGTGGGTGTTTAGATGACCGGAGGCAGGGATTTTATGCCAGTACACATATTAATACATCATACACTTAGCGACTAAGAGTCTCCCCTAAGTCAGGCGTGGGAAACTTCTGTCCCTCTAGATATTGCTAAACTACAAGTCCCATCTTCCCTGACCATGGGCCATGCTGCCTGGGGTGGATGGGAGCTGCAGTTCAGCAACATATGTAGGAGTCAAAGGTTCTCTATTCCTGTCCTATGTCCAAACATCTTCACATAGAGACAATGTGAGCATTACTGATTAGACAGAAGGGTCCATAAGGCCGAAAGGTAGATCAAGAGTAATATATGCTAATCAAATAAATAAAACAAATACAAAAGAAAAATAATGTGTATATTATTATTAAATTTGTATACCACCCTCCCTCCGTAGATCCCAGAGTGGTTCACAACAGAAAAATACAAAAAGAGAACACAAAATACATAATCAAAAAACAACAAAAACAAACCAATAACCCTCCTCCCACAAACACATTTAAAAGGACTTAGAATGTTAATCAGCCAAAGGTATGGTTGAAGAGGAACATTTTTGCCTGGGGCCTAAAGATATGTAATGAAGGGGCCAGACATGCCTCTCTTGGGAGAGTACTCCACAAACAGGGAGCCATCACAGAAAAGATCCATTCTCATGTTGGCACCCCCTGGACCTCTCGTGGACAAGGCACACAAAGAAGCGTCTCAGGTGAGGATCACAAGTTCCAGATCAGTTCATATAGGGAGAGGTGCTCCTTGAGGTTTTGTGGATCTGAGCCAGAGTTAAAACCAACACTTTGAATTACTGGCAGCCAGTGCAGCTGGGCAAGGATTGGTGTAATATGTTCAAACTGCCTTGCCCCAGTGAGCAACCTGGCCACTGAATTCTGCACCAGCTGAAGCTTCTGAACCATCTTCAGAGACAGCACTATGTATAATGTTGTTGCAGTGATCTAACCTAGAGGTTATCAGAGCATAGATGACAAATGTTAGGCCATCTCTGTCCAGAGAGGGGCACAGCTGGGCCACCAGCCGAAGCTGATGGAAGACAGTGCCACTGAGGCCACCTGAGCCTCAAGGAACAGCAAAGGATCCAGAGGTACCCCAAAACTATGTACCCACTGCCTTCAAGAGCAGCCAACCCCCACATCCATCTGGCTTAGAGCAGTGTTTCCCAACCTTTTTTGGGCAAAGGCACACTTGTGTCATGAAAAAAATCTCGAGGCACACCACCATGCCAGATGGGGAAAGGTCACTTTTTACTTATGTAAAAAAAAATAAAAAAATAGTAACAGCATAGAAGGTAATGGTAGATGACTGTTAGGATCTCCCCCCAAATTTGGGGGAGAATCCTATTAATATCTTCCTTAGCGAGCCGCGTTAACCCCTGTAATGCTTTCTATAGAGTAAGCATAGGGGACACTGGGGGATGTGGAACCAAGGGGGCAGTGGGCCAAAAGAGTTCGGGATCTACTGCTTTAAACAGA